AAGTTTGTTTGATTTTTTAATAATATAATTTCCTTAGTGAATTTTTCATTTATTTCCTGCATTGTTTTTGTGGTTTCTTTGTGTTGGGCTTCTATTTTTTGTGGTATTTCATTCAGCATCCTAACAATTCATATTTGAAATTCTTCATCTGTCATTTTTATCTTGTCACTGTGGTTGGTATCCATTGGTAAGGAGTTTTCTTTTTGGGGTGTTCTTTTGCTCTGATTTTTTATGTTTCTGGAGTTCTTTTGTTGGTTCCTTCTCTTTTGGCCTCTTGGTCTAGACCTGGGTACACTAGGCCTGGCTTATGGGCCTAGCTTACAGGCCTGTCTCCAGGTCCCTAAAGATTGTTTCCTGAGCATGCCAGGGATAGGGGTGCTGGTCTTAAGTCACCTATGGTGTATTCTAGCAGGTTTCCTGGGTTACCTGTGACCTGCTGTCTTCACCTCTTTCCAACAATGTGTGATCATTTAGGTCCCCCAGCTTAATCTCAGAAGTGGTAAGTGGTATTGTGATTGTGAGTCAGCTGTTCCCTGTTTGCTTCGGTTGGAAGGCTCTATGCTTAGTTATGAGATTGTTCCCCCATCATTGATTGAAATTTGCCTAGAAGAGCCAGATGCCAAGATGGTATTATGTGCTTGTAGTGAGCTCTTATCTCCCAGGTAGGCTACACAAATGTCCCCAAGATTTAGGAGGGACTTTGTAGCTCCCAGGTGGTTGCTTGATCTCTACTGCCCCTGAAGTGTGGGGAGGAGCAAGACAAATTGTGGTTGGATTTTGAGAACCTGAGAGGCTTGCAAAGCCTCCATGGAGCTCAGAGGTTGCTTATACAGTCGCTAGGGGGAGTTGCTGGTATCAAGTTCAGGGCAATCTCTCCATGCCAGGAAGGCTATTCCTGAGGGAGTGGTCTAATTACTTGAGTGCTAAGGCCCTGGAATAGGCTTTTTCCACCCTTGTTCACTAGTGCAATTTCTCTGTGGGGCAAGTGCCCCCCTATTCACTCCCTGAAACTCCACAGCAATCTCAAATCAGAACAGTCCACATGGGTTTTCTTACTGCCCAAGACCTGCCCTGGAGCTACCCTTTAGTCTGTGTGTCTGATGCACTAGCGTGCATCTCTGTGGGGTGCTGGCAGGGAGGGGATCCCCAATTGTGAATGCCTGTTGCACCAGATACCTCAAAGAGAAGAGTTAGGCCTCTCTGTCTGCAGGGGCCTCTGACATTGCTATGCCCCTCCCAGGGAGAAGCAGCCACTTGTGAGTTTCTTGGCTCAAGCTGCACTCCCTATTGTAATGAGTGAGGGAAGGGGTTCCTGCTCCCATTCAGCCAGTTTGCCTGGGGCATTTGATTGTCATGGGACCCAGGGGCTAGGCTAATTCACTCTGAGACCTGCACCCCTATCCAATATGGTGGTTCTCCACTGGAGTTGGAGGATGGGCATGCTTACAGATCCCCATTCCCCAGTCCCCCTCCATACTCTCCTTTTGGATATGTCCATGAGGGCTTCTTTGCCATCGAAGTCCAGAACTGAGGTCTCTCCCCTGCATCTCCCTGCTTTGCTCTCATGTCCAGGGGGCACCAGGTGCAGCCCTCCTGTCTAAGCTGCCAGTACACAATCCCATGAAATAGCGGTGGCTAGGAAGCTTGCAAATTGCGGTGGCCCCACTCTGTGGCAGGCTCTGCTGGGAATGTGCACCCACCATAAAGCAGTAGCTTTTCTTGTGCTTTTTTTGGTTCAGAGTATTCTTGCGGTTGCAATAGGGAAGAAGAGGCTGGGGCTACCTGTTGTCCTGAGTTAAAATCACCCTCTCTGATACCATGATTAGAGGAGGTGCAGAGGAGGAAGTGTCTAGGTGTAAGAAAGGCGGCACTCTGGTTTCTCTTGGCACTCTCCCATGTAGTGTCCCTTTTTAGCACCTGAATTCTTGGTGTTTACTGATTTATCCTACCATTCCCATTCAGCCATCATCCCTGGGCTTGTGGAGGGTAGAAGCACCTCCAATATGTCCCGTGTCCCACTTTTTACCCAAGGCACATAGGTAAGGGAGGAGAAGCCACCCTTACCCTTTTACCAGGCTCTAAGACTCTCTGGATTTGGTCCACACTGCTGTCTTTCATCTCTATGTTCTTATTCTCAGCTTCACCATTTTTCTTGGTTGGGTCCCTGGACTTCTCTGTTATTTATCCCTGTAATCCACACCTGGGCTGTAACCACTCTTGGTTCTTCTCAGTCAAATACACTACATTTCAGGAAGACCCAACAAACTATGTCTCTAGTCGGTCATCTTGGCTGCTCCCACCCTCCATTGTTTTTGATGAGAATTCAACTGTTATTCACATTGAATTTATCTTTTACATGATGAGGTTTCTTTTTAAATGTTTTAATGCTTTTAACTCTTCAATTATGGATTTTTTAGGTGTGGATCTCTGTGTTAATCCCTCTTAGAGATTGTTGAGATTTTTGGACATCTAGATTAATGTTTTTCATCAATATTGAAAATTTCGGGCATTATTTCTTTATATATTTTCTTCCTATTTCTCTTTTCCTTCTGAGATTCTCTTTATGCCTATTTTGGTATGCTTGATAGTGATTAGTCTCTAAGGTTCTGTTGTTTTTTCTCCATTCTTCTTATTTCTGTTTTTCAGATTTGATAATCTCTATTGATCTACCTTTATATTTGCTGATTCTTTCTTCTGAATGTCAAATCTGCTGTTGAATACCTCTAGTAAATTACTTTAGTTATTGTATTTTGCAACTTGGTTCTTTTAAAAATGTCTATCTCTTTATCGATATTTTTATTTTTTATTTATTTTTATTTTTTTTATTTTTTCATATTATGGGGGTACAAATATTGTTAGGGTTACATATATTGCCCCTGCCATTCCTCCCCACAACGCCCCGCCCCCCCACCGTACCAAAACATCAAGCATGTCCTACTCTCAGGAGGTGCGCATTGTACCTATTTTGTAAGTGTAAATTCTTCCCCTCCTCCCCCTTCCCATTTGCCCACCACCTGATAAAAGTTTGTTTGTTTGTCTGTTTGTTTTTTCCCTTTTTTTGACCTTTGGTTTACATTGTATATCTTAGCCTTTCCTTTGGAAGGTTTAGATGTATTCCCTCTCCCCCCTCCACTATGCTCACCACAACCCTAAGATGTGTATCTCCCCCCCCTAAACCCTAGTGGGCACTATCCCCATTTGAGCATCATAGTTTTAATCAGTCAGTACCAATTTGATGGCCAGTAGATGTGGAGCCTGTTTTCTTGATCTTGTGTCACCTCACTTTGAATAATGGGTTTAAGCTTAATGCAGGATAGCATAAATGGTGCTAATTCACTGTCATTTATTAGAATTGAATAGTATTCCATTGTGAGCATATACCAAATTTTAGTTATCCACTCGTGAATTGACAGACACTTGGGTTGTTTCCATGATCTTGCAATAGTGAATTGTGCTGCCATAAACATTCGGGTGCAGATGTCTTTATAGTAGAATGTCTTATGCTCTTTCGGGTAGATGCCCAACAATGCTATTGCTGGGTCAAATGGTATTTCTATATCTAGTTTATTGATATTTTTAATCTGATAAGCAATTATCATATTTTCATTAATTCTTTAAACAGTGCTTCTTTTTAATTATTTATAAAATATTTATAATAGTGGTTTTGAAGCTTTGTCGAACTTCTCACCCCATAGAGACACTTTCTATGGACTGCTTTTATTCCTGTTTATGGAAAACTCTTATTTATTTATTTTCTATGTTCTGTAAGATTTTGTTGAAAACTAGACATTTTAGAATAAGATATTATAGCAAATCTGAATTCTCATCCCACCTCCCTTGGAAAATGTTGATTTCTCTTATTTCTATTTTTTTGGTTTATTTAGTAACTTGCTTGAACCAATTATTTAAGAGATTGTCTTCTTTGCAATGTTTCTACTCCACTCCTTTTCTAAATTCTTGTTTTACAATCATTTTAGGCCTGGCTTTCTAGTAGCTATTACTGGATCAATATGCACCATAGTCAGCCAGTGATTATTCAGAAGTTTTACTTAAATAACTTGAGCCAGTAAACCTTCCACCCTTGCAAATAGATCTATGGGGATTGCTTTCAAAGTGCAGAAAATTCACAAGTCTACCCCAGCTTTTACTTTCTGCTGGGTCTTTTCCTGTCTTCTCTGCATATGTGCAAGGCCTTAGATTCAAAAAGGTCTATCAGTAGGTCTTTGGGATCTTCTCTCATCTCTTCTGAGTGCAAGCAGTCTTATATAGGTGTTCAGCCTTCCAGAACACCAGAGATATCTGGTAGCTTAGTTTATCAATGCCCACTATGGCTGTCTTGCTTCCCTGTTAAATTTCTGGCTGTTGTATTGCTTGCCCCAAGCAATATTGTAGCCTCAAGCAGCTGTGATATTGGCCTTCTCTGATTTTTTGACACTATGAACTATTATTTTGACAATGCTCTTGGGTTTGGTGCTTTTTATCAATCTTCTCCAAATCATGTTAGTATCCTCTGGCAGTAGAGCTGCTGCTTTTCATATTTTGTCCTGCTCTGGTAGAATTACGGTGATGTATAATGGGGGAAGGGGATAGGAGGTCAACACCAAAGAACTTCTCTGTTCTTACCAATGTTCAGTAATTTTTCTTCTGTAAATCCTTTTCAATCTGTGGTATGCCTCTGGTCAATTGATAGAGTCATAAAATAGCTATTTTTGTCAATTGTGTTCAGTTTTATTGTTGCCTTTGGGGAGAGGGTTTGCTGAGTTTCTCACTTTATCATTACCATGTTCCTGCTTTCCTCCTGCAGCCCCTTTATTCCTTCCTCTACCATATGCTAGGACAAATAAAGTATTTCCTCCTTAGTGAACATTGGCCATGGATTTTTCCAGGTTTCCAAGATACTCCCAGTACCATATGTGCCTAAACTCATGAGATTCGCACTAGGATGTTAAATCCCATGTCTTAAGAAAGTCCTCCCTTATGAATTAACTCTTTTTTTTTTTTGAAAGAAATGCACATTTATTTCTACAAAAGCAATGTATGATACAGAATTAGAAGGGAACAGACTTAAAGATTTGCCTATTAAAATATACAGATTCTTACTGAAGAGTATAGGATATTTAAAAAAGATGACAAGGGATGTTAATCTTTTTTTATTATTATTATTTTTACATATTTTGGAACCTCACATAATTTTGATAAATAACTCTTACAAAATTATGCAAAAAGTACAAGAATGTCTGGTAAACAAACAGTCTGTATTTTCCAAAAGATTTTTTACAACATGCAATTCTTAAGGCAGCATCCTCCTTACAAGGAAAAGTAATCCTTTTACTCATCAAGAAATCTTCTGCTGCAAAGAATAGGCTAAGAAAGCCTGGCTTCTTCCATTAACGCCTTTTGTCTTTCCTGTCTGATTTTCGGTCTCTTTCACTTCTTGAAGATCTTTTGCCTGATCGACTACTCTCTGATATAGACCTCTTTCTGTCGGACCGAGAATTCTTATCCTTTGATCCTTTTGTATCTCTACTACTACCACCTTTTGAAGATTTGTGACTTCTTTCTAGTCCTGAAGTATCCCTTCTCTTCCGATCCACGCTCCTTCTGTGCTTTCTATCTCTATTATGTCCCCGGCCCCTGCTCCGACTTCTACTCTCACTACTACTACTAGTGCTGCTGCTACTGTCTCTGCTGCTGCTGCCACTTGTACTGGAACTACTACTGGAAGTACTTCGACTGCTACTACTGCCACTACTGGAACTGCTTCCACTGCTACTACTGGTAGAACTGCTACTAGAACTACTACTGCTACTGCTTCGACTTCTACTCTTGCTTGTTTTATTTCTAGCTCGACCTCTACTTCTGCTCCTAGTTTTGGTTTTGCTCTTGCTCTCTGCATGTACTGTCAAGACCGACTCTACTGGCATTTCAGTGAGTTTTACAGATTCTACAGGAAACTCCTTCCTCTCAGGTAGTAAATGCCCTTGCTCCTGAATCACCTGGGGTGGTGGCTGTAAAACAGCTAATGGCAAAGTCTCAGGCTGAGAGGGAAGCTGGGATTGGAGTACTGGCTGGGACTGGGACTGAGATGGAGGATGGGACTGAGATTGAGATTGGGGCTGGGGCTGAGACTGAGACTGAGGCTGAGGCTGAGGTTGAGGCTGAAGTTGAGGTTGTGGCAAGAGCTGAGGCTGAGCCAGAGGCTCAGGTTGGGGTTCAGATTCTTTTTCTTCTTTTTCCTCAGACTCCTTTTCCATGTCTAGAGCACTAACATTGTCTTTCCCAGGAGACAGAGATTTACATTCTTTATCTTTCTCAATTTCAAATTCCATCTCTGGCTCTAATTCTTTGCTAGTTTCATTTTCTTAAGGTTCTATACTTTCAACTTGATTAGTTTCCATCGTCTCCTGTTCAACAATTACGTTTTGGACATTCCCAACCATCTCTAATACATCCATAACTTCTTCAGGCTGACTATCCTGGTGCTTCTCACTTTCCCTGACCTCAGTTTCCTCCTCCATCTTAAACTCCATTTCCTGTTTTTGTTCCTCCTCCTCCTGTTCTTTCTCTGCATCACTATGAACAATACCTACTTCCTTTTCCTCTTCCTCTCCTGCTTCCTCTATTTCTACATCATTGTGCTGATTACCTGTCTCCTCCAACTCTTCCTCTCGCTGAGCCACCTTACCCTCTTCTTGCTCCGCCTTCTGTTCTTCATTACGCACCACCTGATGCTCTTTTTCCTTCATTGATTGTCTTCTAGGCCTAGCCTCCATTTTATTTATTTGTTCTGCAAATTCGAGGCGTCTACCTTCAAATAAAGCTAAAGGATAAAAATTTACATGTGTAAAATGTACTATGATTAAGAAAATTCAAGTCATAATTTTATACCTGGTCACAAACTGTCATTAAGTTTCATCTAAAAAAATGTCTTTTTGTAAAGCAATGATGACAAATTTGGCAAATAAGTAATCACAAACTGACCAAAATATCCACTGGAGACCTGCATACTAAGAAATTAGTGGCAAGCAAAGGTAGACATTATCTAACTGATGAAAAACAGATCAATTTTCATGCTAGATGAAAAATAACAAAACTTATTTAAAACAGAATCAGTTTTATGGCATTGAATCATGCATTAACTTTTTTGATACCAAGGAGAGGAAAACATCTAATCATCATATTAGCAGTGTCTATTCTTCCATGTGTTTTCCCTCTAAGAACCGTATCAATGTTCATTCACTGTATCTGGTTACTAAGAATATCAAGGAAAAGGAAATAATCTTAAATGCCTAAGAAATACAGAAGCATAAGCACTGCCCACAAAATAAGTTTCAGTTGAAACTGCATCATGATGTAACTATTCCTGTACTCCAAACTCCTCACTATCTCAGATTATTTAAAACAAACAAAAAAACTAAGGAAACCCAACAAACTTAACCATTAAATCACAATTATTTTAGACCAAAAAAAAAATTTATTATGAATATATTACCTTATGCATTAAGAAAATTTCAATGCACCCCTTCATGTACTTACCATTCATTTTTCTCTGTGACTCTTCTATTAGTTTTTGGGTAGCAGGACACATCCTTCCAGGAATATAGAACAAATGGGGCTTAGTCTTAGTTCTTATATATTTAATTATCTTGGCATTATGCTCATTCCATTCTTCTTGCTAAAGAAAAGATAAAAGGTCAGTGTTTTTGTCAACATGAAGGATTACCAATCTCAGAAATCGAAATACTCACCAGCTGTGCAAGCTCAACTTTCTGTTCTAAAAGCCGCAGTTCTGTCTGTTTAGCACGCCTCTCTTCAAACAGCTCTCTCCTCTCATTTTCAACCTGCTTTCTCTCTTCTTCTGCCTGAACTTCAAGTTTTTGCTCAATTTCCTGGCGCCTCTTTTGCCTTTCATTAGCGACAGTAGATTCTTGTTTAAATTTTTGAAGAGTACCCATCAACAAGCCAAATATTCGCCGGTTCCTTTGCTTTCCCTTTTCATCCATATTTTGATCCTGGATAAGGTCTCTACGTGTGCGTTCTTTGGAGGTAGCTACAACTGAAGACTGCAACGCTGGCTTTTTAACATCATCATCCTCTGGGTCGCTTTCTTGGCGTGATTCTCTTCTTGTCCGACGCTCCCCGCCCAGCCTACTGACTGCCCCTTCAAGGTCTCTCTGTTTGGCTGGGGGTCCTCCTCCACTATCTGAGAATCCACGCCTCAGCAATAAACTACCACATCCTCTACCTCCTCCAGGACCAGAAAGGGCCAGCAATCTGGCTTGGATGGGCCTCACGTCATTCGGATCTCGCCCGGTGAGCTTGCGAATATTCTCATTCACGTTCTTTAGGCTCTCTTTGGCCTTTTCTAGCTGCTCCTGCAAAGTTCTCACTGCGACCACCATCTTCTCCGTGAGGCAGGCTTCGAGACTGCTCCTGAATTAACTCTTGATTATACAGTCTTACATTTCAGCTCCCTGGAACAAACAGTCTCAAAATACAATCCCAGGAATACTCTCATAAATCCCCTAGATCCTGCAGATACATGCAGGCTAAATTTTTATAGTTATTTTAGTATTTAGTCACTTTCTTCATTTATTAGGCCTAGCACATCATTATCTGGGTTATGCTGGGATTTAACCTTAGTTATTGGTCTGGTAGTTGGGAGAGGAAGTGAAGGCAGCTCCTTAATGGGGCATCTGTTTTCTCCTAAGGGAGAAGCCTATGCAGCACCTTCTAAGTACAGCAGATGCACTTGTACTTACTAGACACAATGGGCTACCTTTGCAATCCCAGGGTGTTCAAGGTATGTTGGAGAGGGGGACAGGGGCTGCAGAGCCAATATCTTCTGGTACTTCATTTAGACATTCCCACTGCATAGTTCAGTGTCCCAGGTTTCCTTCCTTAGTATCCTAGCTTTTGCATAGCTGATCTTGCCTGGGATGAGCATTCAAATATCTCTTACTCAACAACTTCAACAATTGGGTCTTTAGTTGTGTTTGCTCTTCACTGCAGGAGATAAGAGCCTCTTTGTGAGCTACCACCAGCCATTCTCACACTTAGATATTAACTGCTGGGCCAGAGCAGTGGCTCATACCTGTAATCCTAGCACTCTGGGAGGCCGAGGCAGGTGGATGGTTTGAGCTCAGGAGTTCAAGACCAGCCTGAGCAAGAGCGAGACCCCATCTCTAATAAAAATAGAAAGAAATTAGCTGGACAACTGAAAATACATAGAAAAAATTAGCCGAGCATGGTGGTGCATGCCTGTAGTCCCAGCTACTCAGGAGGCTGAGACAGTAGGATTGCTTGAGCCCAGAAGTTTGAGGTTGCTGTGAGCTAGGCTGACGCCACGGCACTCTAGCCTGGGTAACAGAGTGAGACTCTGTCTCAATAATAATAATAAAAAAAGTTACTAACTGCTTATTAGAGGCCCACAATTTCTCATTATCCCTCTTCAAGATATTAGTTTAACTTATCAGTAACCAACCAACTCTTCTCATTTTTTAGGCATTATTATCATACCTCACAAATGCTTGAACCATCACACCTACAGCAACATTCCCCTTCATTAGGACATTACCTGGGTCAGCACTGGGGAAATGTTTAGCAATTGAACCACCATCTTGTGCCAGAGACTATCCATGTTCCATTTACCAACCAGGATGGTGTCTTCTCTCTCCACACACAGTGAGTGAGTCAGTCCAAAATCCCCATCTTACTGCTTGTTTTTTTCTCAGACAACTCTTGGTATCATTTGTGCTGTTTCAGGTCCCCAAGAAGCAACACACCCCCAAAGAGGAGCACCAGCCCCCTAGAAGCCCCCAAGAAGCAAATGGCAAGATGGGATTAGACATGCAAGAGAGTTATTAGGAAGAATGACTATAAAGGAAAATGTGAAGATTGCCAGAGGAAGCTGGCAGAGCTGTAAGATCATGATGCAAGTTGACCCTTGTGAAGGAGTAAGAGAAGGAAAGAAGGTTGGGTGGAAGAATCTCAGACTCAGTGCAACTCTAAGGAAGTTAGGCAAGGCAAATGTTGGTGGGGTGGGATCTTTGAACCAAAGCTGTGTCAGAGGAGTCCTGCATCTCCCAGGCATTGACCTACGTTAGTACTCTGTCTTGTTCAGTTACTGCCTAGGAGCAGCTGATGTAAAGAGTGACTTCTGACAACTACAGTGATATATTTCAGAGAACAGCAGTGTGTCAGTAAAATACAGTCTCTGTAGTTTGAGTTCTGAGTGGCACAGAAAAAAGAGGAGATTGCATGGCTTCCACAAGTATTCTTTATTTTTATTTCTTTAATAAATTTTCCAAATTTGTATTTTCACTTACTTTTTTCTTTCTAATATTGATCTTCCTTGTTTATTTTATAACCAATATTTAGACAAAATATTATTGAGCTACTAATTGTTGAGAAGTAAAAATGAAAACAGAAAGGGTAAGAAAAAAGTAAGGAAGGATAAAAGTGTTAACAATGGGGAATGGGAGGATCAAGATGGCGGACGAGAAACACCGCCAGACAGAGTGTCTCTGCAGAAAAAACAGATTCTAGCAGAAATTAGAAAAAAGAAGCAAGAAGGCGAGCATACAGCAGACGAGGGCTGGAAGGAGGGTTACCTGAGACCCTGGGAGACTCCACCGGAGGAGGCTACGGAGGAGAACTGGAAGCTGAGACAGCCAGAGCAGCCCGGACCAGCGGGAAGGGTAGGTGGATAAATCACCTTTTCCTTCCCCTGCATTTGGGACTGCTGGTGGGCTCCCCAGCGGGTGGAGACCTGCGGACACCAGCCCAGAGATGGCCACCGCCAGCTAGCTGTGAGCCTGTAGCGGACACGGCACCAGACTCCCAAATCCCTCGGGGCACCTTCGTGTGCACAGATTCGAGCCGCGCGGCAGGCGCCATATTGCCTCCTCCTCCCCTCCGCCGACCCAACCCGCAGCTGCCCAGAGAGACAATACAGCCACCAGCCAGAGGCGCCTCCAGGGAACGGGACCTTCCCTTTTGGGACCCTACAGCTGACTAAGGGGAACTCAGACTGTGAGCTCCCTGAGAGATTATATAAGTAAAGAATCACCCTAACAGAAACACACAATTCTACACAAAACGTGGAAATAAACAACCTCCTACTAAATGATACTTCATAAATGAAGAAAACAAGATGGAATAAAAATATTCTATACTCCTACACTGCTTGTGGGACTGCAAATTAGTTCAACCTCTGTGGAAAGCATGTGGGAGATACCTTAAAGCGATACAAGTGAATCTACCATTTGATCCACGCAAATCCCATTGCTGGCATCTACCAAAAGATCCAATGACACTCACAAAAAAGACACCTGCACTCGATATGTTTATAGCAGCACAATCATAACTGCAAGGTATGGAAACAGCCCAAGTGCCCATAAATCCAGAATGATTAATAAAATATGGTATATGTATACCAGGAGTACTATTCAGCTCTAAAGAACACATGGTGGATATAGCACATCTTTATATTTTCCTGGTTAGAACTGGAACCCATACTATTAAGTGAAGTTTCCCAAGAATGAAAAACAAGCACCACATATACTCACAGCAATATTGGTATTACTGAACAGCACCTAAGTGGTCACATAGGTACTGCAGTAATATGGTATTGGCAGGGGGAGG